TTTTTTTTAATTAAAAAAGGTTCTTTATCTGTATCTGTAAAGTGCTGTCCCTCCATGATTTGGGGAAAAAACCCTACTACTGTAATCATAGCATGCTTGTTTCTTCGTCCATCATTTCTTTCCTCTCAACCTCCACTCCACACCTTGTATAACCTGAAATACCTGCCCAGTTTATTTTTCCCACTTCAAGAATAAGCCATGCTTTCTTTCCATGAGTGTCCAATTTGCCTTGTTTTACAAAACTTTCCATTGCCTGGAGGCTCTTTTCCAGAATACTCTGCAATTTCAGGACAGTAAGCCACTAGAAAGTAGGATAGGCTTTCAAGAAGACATGGGTCTTTCAGCCAACATTAATTTACCCCAAAAATGGAGCAAAAACCCTATGAGAATTCTGAGCCCAAGAATTTGCTTTAAGACAGTTCCTACTTCTTTCATACAAACATTGCAGCTCTCTTTATTTCAGCCATCTAATGGGCTGGTTGGCTTAAGTTTTCTGGACCACAGCTTCTGTCACCTGTCACCATTAACCATGTTATCAACAGTTGATGGACTAGATAGAACGCATCACTTGGAGAGCCATGCCATGCCCATCTTTAAGACCCATTCACACGGGACACCTGGTTAGGATTTCTGAGTTCACCTTCCTATCTGATATGCCTATCAGAGGCAGAGAGGAGGGGGGGTCCCCTCCGATGCGCTCCCCCCTTCCCCAGAGATGGGAGCATGCCAATGGAAAAGGAGACCCTCCCTCTTCAGATGACGGGGGGGGGGGAAACAGGGAGATAAAAGACCCCCACAGCCCCGAAGCTGGGTAATTCGGTTGCACCAGCTGCAGGTCCCCCCCCCTCGCCCCTTTTCGTGGCTGCCTGGATCTTCCCTTCCTATGAGCCCATCCGGCGAGGAAGCCCTTTCGGACCATTTCCAAGGTCGGAGTTCAGATGAGGAAGAAAGTCCCGGCGTCTTGGGGGAAAGCACCCGGGGACGCTGGCCCCGTCCCCAAGGAGTCCCGGAGCGGGGCCGCCGGGAGTAGCCAGCCCACCGGAGCAGCGGGGAGAGGGGCTCCCGGCGCGGAGGTAGCTGCAGCAGCGGAGGCCTCCGAGGGGCTGGCCAAGCCCCCTTACTCCTACATCGCGCTGATCACCATGGCCATCCTGCAGAGCCCGCAGCAGCAGCTGCCTCTGAGCGGGATCTGCGCCTTCATCCGCCGGCGCTTCGCCTACTACGGCCAGCGCTTCCCCGCCTGGCAGAACTCCATCCGCCACAACCTCTCGCTCAACGACTGCTTCGTCAAGGTCCCCCGCGAGCCCGGCAGCCCCGGCAAAGGCCACCTGTGGCGCCTCCACCCGGCCTCGCAGGGGATGTTTCGCAACGGCAGCTTCCTCCGGCGCAGGCAGCGCTTCAAGCGGCCCGCGCCCTCCGCCGCCGGGATCTTGCTCTTCCCGCCTCCCCCTGGCCCTCTGCTGCCTCCGGCGGTCGGGCCTCTGCCCGCCTGCGCCTCGCCGCCGGCGCCGGAAAGGAGAGCGGGGGCGGCCCGAGGGCCCGTGCAAGCGGGAAACGGGCGCCAGGGTCCCGGGGAGGAAGAAAAGCGGCCCCCGGGGGAGATCGGCCTGCAGGGCGGCGACAGCAGCAGGTGCTCCTTCAGCATCGACAGCCTCATGAAGACGGCGCCTGCCCTGGTGCAGCTGAGCGCTTGGGTCCCCTCCCCTGCCGCCGCCACCTGCAGCCCCAGCGCGGCTCTGCTCTCCCACCCGGAGCGCCTCGTAGCCTCGTGGAGGACCTTGCTGGCTCCCCGCACCGGTCAGGGTCCCGCAGCGCTGTTGGCGGGTCACTCAGAGTTGATCCTCCGCGTAGAAAGCCCCTCTCCTGCCTTCTAGATCCGCGCTCCCGATCCTCTTGCTGAACCTGGCCAATGGCTTGCAGACGGCAGTTTCAAGGACGCCTCGGATCTTTAATCCGACCTCTGATTGCTCTGCTTTAGCACGCCCCCGCTTCGAAAATTGAGGTGGTGTCTCCTTAAATTGTGAAAGTCACTTGCCCGTTCTCGCTCTTTCGCACCACGCTGATCAGGGTGGTGGGGCGAAGCACAGCATCCTACATAACGAAAATGTCATCCTTCTTTCCGGCAGCAACTGAGCAAAGTCTACATGTGCCCCACATGTAAGGATCCATGTAATGCAGTGTTCTAATTTCTAATCAGGATTGGATTGGAGCTCAATTCACACCAATGGACTGCTTATTAATCGTCAACATTTTAAATACATAAAAACAGAAATAGATGACTCCGATGAAAGGGCTGAATTGATAAAGAAGTTCCATTTTATTAACAGAATGAGACCCTTTGATTCCCAGGTTTTGCAATTACCTCCTTATGGCAACATATGTTTGTGTCTCCTTCCAGCTCAACGTTCCTCTTTTTTCTTCCCCAAATATTGTGGGTTATTCTGGATATAGTATTACTCTGGTCCTTTTCATCTGCCCTCCCATGCTACCAATATAATGCTGCATTCCTTAGTCATGATTGTAACCACTCACATTAATGTTATATAAATCTTAACATCCAAACAATTAACAAAGTTCGGATGCAAGTTGATCCAAAGACAGACAAGCTCCAGACAGAGACTAAGACATCCAGGAATCTTCCATTAGTTTTTTTTGTCAAACATCAACAGGTTACTTAGAGCAACTAAAAACCGTAACTCTTTTTGCTATTCCTTATATTCTACTTTCAACTACTTGGTTCAACATTCCTCCTAATTCTCAACAACTATAATTCATTTTGAACTGAAAAGGTTTCAGTTTGCATTTCTACTTTATATACATCTCCCATCCCTTAGTTTATTCTTGCTATCAAGCATCAAAAACGTATCTTGAACTACAGGTACACAATTAGAGTAATAAGATTGCCTGTGGGACAGGCGTCAAATATATGTATTTCTCATGTGAACGGATTGCCCTTCTTGGAGGATAAATCACTATGTATTATGCAATCTGTCCTAGGCCTCAAAAAGTATCCTATTTATTTTTTATTTTTTATTTATTTTTATAAATTTTTATTATTTAAACCAACAAAACAAAACAAAACATAACACACATATATACACAGTATATATTTTAACAGCAATTTCGTAACAGTAATCTTCTATTATTTACATTTCCCCCCATTATTCTTCTTCGGAGTATTTGTCCTTGTTGCCTCATTATTTCTTATTTGCATTTTTCTTCCTTCATACATTATTATACACACATTTTCCACTTTTAACCTTTCCACATTTATTCTTTATTTCTACTCTCCAGCCAGTCATACCACTTGCTCCATATTAAATAGTATTCTGTGTCTTCTTTTTCTTTTATCTCTTTTGTTAATTTGTCCATCTCAGCACAGTCCAGGATTTTCTTTATCACTTCTTCCTCTGATGGTATATTCTCATTTTTCCAGAACTGTGCGTATGCTATTCTTGCTGCCGTTGTTGTATGTAGAATTAAGTACCGTATTTCTTTACTATATTTTCTGTTTAAAATACCCAGCAAAAAGATCTCTG